CCTAAGTTCGGTCTGGCACTGGCATTGCTGCATATTGCAACCCACACCAGGGTGTCGGCGGCATTTGTTATTGTTAATGTCACAGCGTTACACTGTTTCAGAACACTGCTTACTCAGCAATTGTCTGAGTAACACTAACAGGCGGCGAACCAGCAGCATAGCACAGTCGGTCTACCAGCTGTCTGGATGGCATTGTAAGGGCAACCCTGGAGACTCCGACGAAAGCCTAGCAGGGGAGGATCCAAGACGTGAATAAAAGCTACAGGAAATACACGGAGGGACCGACCTAGCAGGGGAGGATCCAAAGAGAAGAAACTCTAAGGGTCTGCCTGCTAGGGCGCCAACTATATACTGGTCGTCCGTAACTGCCGACGTAGAGCGCAGAAAGCCTGAGCTGAGCGGCGTTGCAGGCTCTGTCCCAAGGTGATCGTTGGGAGGGTCTTGACGGATCAGTGATTGTGCGGGCGAAGGAGGCCGAGGACGAGGGTTGGGGTAGGTCGGAGCGTCCGAGGGGGCGCCGGTCGGATGTGCCTCGGATGCGCTCGGATGGTCTGAAGGAGGCCGAAGTGGGGGTTCCCCTGACAGGCATATGACTATGGTCAGGCCCAGTTTCAATGGGCCTTGAAGTTAACTTGAGCTTAGGTTGGACTTGCACCAACTCCAAGCCTCAAGACTGGTCTGGTGTGATGCGTGACATCAGGTATCAAAAGCTTTGGCTTGGGCTAGCACCGTCACGTGGGGGAGTTCAATGTTGAGTCGTGGTGATTATTTACTTGCTTGCTTGCTTGGTGTGTGTGGGGGAGCTGGGGGGAGGGAATACTGACCCATTTCGATCAATTCAGCGGGCCTGTGACCCGTGACCGTTTGGCCGAAATGTCCAATTCGGCCACAGGCCGAATTTCGCGTGACCTATTACCCGATTGGGAAGTTCGGCGCGCCGCAGGCGCCGAAAATTTCGAAATCTTCCCGATTAGGACAGTTTGGGACCAAAAGATTTGGCTGTGACCCGTGACCCGCCGAAATATTTCGGCCAAAAAATCCGATGTGACCGTGACCCGCCTAATTGAATGAAATAGGTCAGTATCCTACACTGATCTGGAAGTCGCAGGTATTGGCCCTTGTTGCGTCACTGCCTCCGCGTCTTCCGTCCACACTTAAAGGGCTCAGTGTGATGGGAAGGTCATCCCGGCAGTCCGACGCGGACACAGTGATTGCGCCGAACGCGAACTTCGCGGTGCCCGACCCCGACAGGCTGCTGGCGCAGTTGCGCTCACGCTGCCCGTCAATGCATCATATCATGATTGAGGTTCCGCTCCTGCAGCTGAGGTATTAGACCATGCCCATATGCACATCTCTTTGTAAAAATCCACGAGGCTCTTCAGTGCTGATCTCAGTGGATCACTGGGCATTGGAGTGAAGGAGACAGATGATGGTGTCCGACTCGGACACAGACAGGCTACGTGTGGAGCTAGCTCCGCCGCTGGTATCTGTCGCCGCACGCGGGGACCATTGATGCATCCACACATTAATTTGGCAATTAAGCAGCTCAAGGCACATAAGACGCTCTCCCGGGGCTAACGAACAGCGTCCCTGGCAGGAGACGAGATGCAGGACCCGGGACCAGTCCGGTGCCCCACCGACGTCAACAAAACGGTACGCAGGTGGGTCCCCATCCGCGACGCACCTGCCGGGCGGGCTGAGGAGTGCGCCGCGCCGCGCGGACGGCATGTCCGTGATCCCGCAGAACATGGGGCCGCGGGATAGATGCTTGAGGGTCGAATGCAGATGCAGTATGGTGGAACACACTGTCGGTTGATCAGTGCTTTCAGAAGACCGATAAGGTGGAAGAGCACACTGAGCATTGGAGAAGTATACAGTGCGGCTTCTCCGAGGTCAATCTGCTGCGCGCATCATTTGGAGGCGCTAATGGACAGCGTTGTTGCCCACGGGCTGCATCGCATGAATACCGGTGCAGAGTGGAGGAATAAAGATAGCGCACTGCTTGCGCAAACAGCCCATGTCCGTGTTGTTGCTCCACCGCTCCAGAACATCTTGATGAAGACGCCAATGACGTCAGGGCAGCTCGAACACGCCTCCGAGTTAGGATGCTCTTCAGGCCGGCCCGGCCACAGTTGGGCATAAGCCAACCGCAAGCGCGGCGGCCACCAATCCGCGCGGAATCGGCAGCCTGGCAGGCGCCTAGTGTGATATTGTGTCAGGTGTACGGATTATCCTCCATAGCGCTGAGGCGGATGGCAAGCAGCACCACGGGCACGACGATCGTCTCCGGATGGCCAGCGCGCAGACCCGTTAGCGTGAGCTTTCAAGTTGCGTCGACGTTTGATTTGCCAAGTCCGGACCCACAGAGTCGGAATCGATGCGCCGGTGTAAGTCCTGTGTTAGCAATTTCGTCTCAGCGGAGAGTCTCAATACAGATTTAGACTCTCGAATAAGTTGGCATCCAGAGAAGGAGTTGTTGGGGCATGTGTATCGGCTAGTGTTGCGTAGATCTGCCCCTGAGGCTGGCATTTTGCATCGAGACGAGTTAATTCGTGTCCTCGACAGTGCTGTTGCACACACGCTGCATAGTTATTAGTATAAATACCGGACCGGAGTGGAGGAACAAATCCGAAGATGACCACTCTCCAGCGGCAGGTCCATATGCTGGAAGATGATGATCATTGTCGATGTGCGCAAGATGGTGCTGACCGAGTTGGGCGTCAGGAAGCTGAGGTGGCTGCGGCGCGGGCATCAAAGGACTGCCAGTGGTTGGGCACAAGCCAAGGTCCAAGCTTGCAGCGGAGGAGAATCCAGTATGGCCCAGACCACATTTTGCATACCGCGGGCAGCGGTCCAAGTTCGGTTGGGAAATCCGAGGCAGTTGCTAGTATTCCTGCTCGGGTAGAGCATACGGTTGATTTGATGACTGGTGTCTGAAGACAGAGAATAAGCTAGGATAAGAGTGGGCTTGTAAAAAAGGTGCGCTCGGTCAGCGATGTCGGGAAAGCGAGGACAGCGTAACACGCCAGGCAAAGATCTCCAGCAGCACAGTGTCGCCACAGATTTAGACTCCCGGAGAAGTTGGCGACTGGAGAAGGGGTGGTTGGCGCATGCGTATCGGTTAGTGTTGCCGTAGCATTGCGCCAGCTGGCGCCGCAGGTGTGCTGCAAAGGCTGGCATTGTGCGTCGAGATGGGCGTCAGGAACAAAAAGGGAGGCGATTGCGTAAGATGTGACTGGGCGATCACATCATGATTAGCTCCGCGCCGGGCACGCCGATTGGCTGGGCACACGTGTGCGCTGTCAATATGTGGCAGCGCTTTCCTCTCTTCACTTCCAGCTTGGCTGCAACTGGTCGCTCCATGTTTCCGAACGAACTCTTTCACGAAGTGCTCAAAGATGTGTCGCCCGCCCAGCTCAAGCTCGTCGCTCTTGCTTCTCGTCGCCTGCGCCTGCTTGCCCGCCCATTCCTCTACAGCAAGCTTGCCGTGAAGCCATATGCGCCCCCGGAGGAGCGCATTGCCTGGTCAGGCGGCGCCATCCTTAAGCTCCCACCTGCTCATGAGGTGGTGGATGCCATCGCAAAACTGGCCTTCTTCATGTCCCCCGCCATTGCGCCGTATGTGCACTGCATCAATGTCGCCTGGGAGGAAGTGAATGGCTTCGCCGAAAGAAGCAGAGACGCAGTATTCAACGATGTAGCCGGCACGCACACCATCTGTGACGTGCTATTCGCCGGCATCTCCAAGTTCGTTAACCTCACGCAAATTCTATGGCCACAGTCTCATATTCACGCTCTCTGCGCTCGCCAACCTTGCGCAGGTCCGCGGCCTGATTGAGCTGGATCTCTTTGCCTGTTCTGTGGACTCCGAGATCCAGGCATTCCTTCGTGCCGCTATTAACGCACTCGACATCCGTATCCGTGTCTCAAGCGTCAAAGTCGCCACCTCGGCAGCATACAGTCCCACGTGCACGCTCTCAGAATGGTTCGCTCTTTGAGCCCATCACACTCTCCGCGGTCAGCCTGGACATGGATCAACCAGTGGAAGGGCTTACGAGTGTGCTACCTCACGTAAAACACCTGGCGCTTAGACTCTCCGAGGGCTGCGGCGCGTTGCTAACCTACTCTGGCTGTGTGCAGCTGCAAGCGGCCTTTCCCGCAGTTGAGCAGCTTAGTGTCGAGGCGGCACTCTATGTGGACGATCCGGGGCTGCCGTGGGATGGCCCTAACGGCGGCGAACCGTTGTTTCCCGCTGTATTCAAGCTCACGACCACGTATGAAGCCAGTGAAGCTTTACCCCTCCTCCTGCGGATTGCACCGTCTATCCACACATTGCATGTCGAAAACGCTGATGCCACAAGCTTAGTGTCCGTGCTGCAGCGCAATAGGCAGTGCATCCCCGTGACAATCACGACACTCACCCTCGAATGCGACTCGGAGGACGGCGATCTTGCCGTGTGGGGGCGGGTCTTTGCACATTTTCCGCACCTGCATACCCTCGACTTCACCGTAACGATGCTGTCCGGACGCGTGCCCGCCGTAAGTGAATGTCTCCTAAGTGTCGTCATCCGAACTGTGCCCATACCCTACTCAATACTATCACAGCCTGCCGCCTTCCTCACGGGCTTCCCGGCTAGTCTTCCCTTGGGTTTGCAGCGGCTCGAAGTCAAGTACTCGGACACGAGTATGTTCTCTCGCCGTGGCCCCGGAGCGGTTCCTCGTCCGACACCTTGGTGATGCAGACAGGACAAGTGCTACGGAGGCAGCTGCTTCGCCGTTGCCCCAATCTGAGCTGGATTTCGATACTTGCACCACCCTTCCATCTCAACCTCCAGTGGACAAAGGACGCATAATCATGATATAGACACATACGAATTGAGCACACCAGATCACAAAAGATATTCAATATTGATAAACGAGAGAATGAGTGGCATTTGTATTCTTCCTTACTTGAGCTGATCTTGTGGTCAAAGGAAAGATAGGGGTGATATTGCACCGAGTCAAAGGATGCCCTGATCCAGCGGCGGGCGACCATACGTCTCCTACACCAACATCATTAGTGCATTATCCACCTCATCATTGGATAGAGAAATACGCACCGGCTCCTGCGGGTGGTTACCCAACACAGCCTCGATCCGCGCCAACACCGCAGCATCCAGCTTGGGCAGGACCTCAAGCGCGCCGAGGTTCGCCTCGAGCTGTGCGACGGAGGACACGCCGAGGATGACTGTGGAAGTGTGGCGGTGCGCCGCAACCCACGCGAGCGCCAGCGCGGTTCCGCCCAGAGTTCAGCAAGTCGGGGAGAAACGACGCACCCGCAGCAATTTGGCTGAGGAGACGCACTTTCCAAAGCAGCTCTTCGCCCTGGGGACCCTCCGTCGCCCCGCGGAACATGGGCACGGTGGCGAAGCGCGTGCCGTCTGGGATGCCGTCGTTGTACTAGCAAAGTTAGTTTACGTGTTAGAGGGTTGAGGAGGATATACCTTCCCCGTCAGCAGTCCGCCCTGCAGTGCAGAGAATGCGGTTGTGCCCAGGCCGTACTTGGCGTACAAAGGGCTACAAAGTCAGCATTAGCTACTGCTGAAGTTTGATGGTTGCCCACGCACGCGTATTCCTTCTCCGGACGTTCGCGGTGGAACATGCTATCGTCTCCTCAGCATTATTTCGAAGGAAGAAAGAAGATGGCGCAGACTTGTGCTTGCACTGCTCCGCGATCGGCGCGATGAGGTTTAAGCGCGTGGCAACATCTGTGCTGCGGGTAAGCGACGGGAGGTCTCGGGAGAGGTACACGCTCACGATGCGCCTCCTCGATCTGGTGCGCGCTCCACTCGGAGGTGCCCCAGTAGAAAGCCTGCGTGTGAATCTTAGTGGATATGGATAGACAAAATCCACCACTCACCCAGCCCTGGTCGATAACATAGTTAAATGCGCGGACGATCTCCTCCATCGGAACTAGCCTGCGTCAGTTGACCTCCTTATGGCGAATGTAAGAAACCCACCGGTGGTATCGCAACGATGCGCGAAGATGACGTCGACATAGTCCATCTGGAGCCGTCGCAAACAAGCCTTCGTGCCCTCGATAACGCTGTTGCCAGTCAGAGTTGTAGGAAGGAAAGGAAGGTGGCGCACTGTTTGTGCGACAGCCCCGTGTCGTTCGGGCCCGTGCCTGGCTCGTGGCTCCAGAATATCTTGGTTGAGATGACGAGGTCCGTGCGGCGCCAGCCAAGTTCTTTGATAGCGTGTCCCCTGATTTTGCTGGAGTCAGAGAAAGCGTGGTCAGAAGGGAATCTCAGGGAACGCACATTTTCGCTCAGCCGCACCTTTCTGGTAGTCCTCCGCGGTGTCGAACATGTTGATCCCATTCTCGAAGGCGGCCTGCATGATGTCCTTGACGCTCTCGCCGACGACGGAGCCTCCGAGGGTGAGCCCTGTCGAGAGCTCAGCTAAAGCCAATGGGGAATGCGCAAAGACGGACAGCCGCCGAGAGAGAAGAGCGGCACGCGCAGACCGCTGGGGCCCAACCGGCGGAAGGGCATCGCTTTTGCGTCGAAGACGGGGACTGGAGAGGACATGGGGGCAGGTGGAGAGGAGTGGAATGGGAATCGATTGCAGCGTCGGCGAACGGGCCGGTGGTGTCTGCGGAAGGCGGAGCGCCGTCGGTGGGGGCAGTAGACCTATTAGTGAAATGAGCGATTGGCTCTGCGTGATGAGCAAGACATGGGTAACGCACCGTGAAAAACTTGAACACGCGTAGCGACTATCAGGACCCAGTTACGCGGACGAAATAGCACACGCACCTTGTCCCGCGCCGGTTGTGCCCTGCTGCTTGCCATCCGGGCCGTCCGCGGCTGATTTCACGCCGCTTGTTTCCGCCCAGTAGAGGCCGCCACCCTGGGTGTCAGACTCGCCAGCGAAAAGTGAGGGATTACTGGGGAGTAGATCAGCGAAATAGAGACTGAATGCACAACACGCACCTCAAGCCACGCCAAATCGACCGTCGCAGCCCATCCCTGCTCCTACTCGCGCTGTGGCTCAAGCATAGCATTCGTGCCGCGCTCCGACCAGGGGCGGGACCGTCTCCCAGGCGCACATGGAAGGAGAAGACAAGGCGTGGCTGCTTACGTGGCACTGGCGATCGGCATCAGGTCCGGGCTCGGCGGCCGTGACATCAATCTCTGGTTTCTTTCCTCCGCTCCACGACGACGATGCGCTTGCACGACGATACCTAGCGCACCCTGCGGGCCACTCCCGCGCACGAACGACAATCCGAGGCCCAATTTCTCTGGTGCATTTCTACTCCAGACATCGCCCTGCTCGTTCTCATAACTCGGGCCGGCAGTGCGTCCAGGACTATGGTCGAATGCCACTCCCCGTGCTCGTCAGCTTTCTTGCTCCACCCGCTTTGCGCCGCGCCGCCGCCGCCGTTGCTAGCCGTTGCTGCGCTGCATCTACAAGTTTGCCACCCCCCCACGGCTCTTCCTTCGCCTTAGAAATCCAGCCCTCGGGCCCGGTCCATATATCCCCTGGTGTGTAGCTCCGGTCGCGCGTTCGCCTCGCGGACCGGCTCTTGCGCGACACGTCAACGACACTGGCCCGCGCTTTTGCTTCCTTGCTGCCAGTATCTTGACGCCCACGACAATTGTACTTAACGCGCTGAATCTACGGATCCTCTAGTTTGTCGTCCACTCAACGTGCACTTACCAGCAAGCTCTTCCGCACTGAGCTGTCCCCCCGCGCATGACTGTGTTTTTCGGCAACGGTCATTTGATGCTTGTCATATCTATTCGACAACATGCTGGAATGCCCTGTCGTCTTACCAATCAAAGAAATATTATCGAGTTAGGCATGCACGAGTCCAAACACATGTCCGAGTCGGCAATAGATTCAATCGCTGGTCCACTGCAAGTCCAGGAATGACCCACGGATAACTATCTGCCGTAGACCGCCACACCCTTTCAGTAGTTCTGCCTGGAGCTCATCCGCGCTTGGAAGACGGCTCAATCCCACTCTTCCCGTTTGCCCCCCGGGAAGGACAGCCCTTGAGGACCAAATATGGACACGGAGACTTTCGAGAGTGGGCGGAAGGATGGTCGATAGGCTGGCGAGGAAGTGAGGGGCCTGGAGAACGGTGTTGATAGGATCAAGGCCGCAGATAACAGGACAGAATTCACCTCGCTTGGCCGAGAATCACCGCTGGACTCTTTGACACGGAAATCGAGGGTGCGCAGGTTCGGGAAGAAGGCAAGGATCCCGGACCAAAGGGAGTAATTGCCATTATCCGACTGCAATGCTACGTTAGTTATCGTGGGCGGAATATACCTCTCGATGCGCTGGAGCGTAAACAGCAGTCTCCCGGCAGCTTCATTCCAAATCTTCAGTTTGTTCACAAATGGTGTGCATGGGAGAACTGCAGGCAACACTTTGCAGGCTGTGGTCAGCTCGCGCACACACGGAAGCACACAAGCTGGCTCGCTCGCGGCCATCTCTGTGTTATAAGGCCCATCGATGACCTGAACGCACAGCTGTTCGAGTCCCGGGAAGGTGCGCGGCAGCTGCTCGATGCCAGAGTGGGTTAACACCAATGAATTCTGGATCCGCAATACAAGATGTCGCACCCGGGAACACGACATCTTCGCGCGACAACCTGGCAAGGCTGAGCAGACGCTTGTCAATGCACCAAGTGAACTTGACCAGCATGGCAAGATCGAGGATGTGAATCCATGACCAGAGATCCCCTTCTGGCTCCGAATCTCCAATCGCAAATCGGAAAACCAACTCAGAGACGGGAAGTCGGATATCGAGTGCACAGGAAGCTGCAGGAAACGCACCAGCGGCACCACTCTTCCACCACATCATTCTCTCGTCCCGCGGCCGCTCGCTCACTCCTGAACTAGGCTTGACGGAGCAACGCCCCTTGCACGAACAGTATATACCACCAGCCACGGTATGGCTTGCCAAAGCGGTCCCCACCCGGGCCGTCGCGGGTCAGGAGAACATCTGTCCAATGAGCCCAGGACCCTGCGCGGAGCGGAGCTAGCGGGGAACGACCCCGAGCGAGTCGAGCGGGGCATCAGGACGGTGCAGGCCTTCGCGTTGAGGGTTAGGGTCACGCTGGCAGACGGCCTTCTTCGCGGTGGGTCCCTCCGCTGTGTCGGCTGTGCGTGCGCGGGACTTATCTGCGGAGGTGTAGCTGAGCAAGCGGCACCACCCCGACGTGCCCGGCCACCAGTCGACGCCCGGCGTTCCACGAGGTTGCGGAGGCGTATAATGTCCTTCGACGCCGGCGTTCCACGAGGTTGCGGAGGCGTATAATGTCCTCCTGGGGACGCGGTACTAGGTGTGCCGCATACGGTTGATTTCGTGTGCTTCACAGAACTGAGGAGACTGTGACAGACGCGCATATGACAACACGCTTCCGTGTGAGAAGTGGACGCACTTGAAGGCACTGATAACTTGGAGGATTCCGATTCAATAGTTTACAGAATATTTTCCACTAGAAGGACTACCAATCATTGTCATATTTCCCTGGGGCGCCCGCTGAGCGACGCTCCGCAAGCATTTTATCCACGCGCTCCCAGAACCCCGCACTAGTCGCGCCGCCTGTCCACTCATCCTGCCACTCCGGCCAGCCGATCCCCTGGTGGACCAGGAGGCACGCAGGGTGCTCTATGAGGCGTTCGTCGAGCGGCACCTTCCCAACGCGCTGGTAGGACAGGACGAATACATTCAACCGCCGATGTGGATCCGACAGCACGTCCAGCAACATGTCGAGCGGTGGGGCGTCCCTCTGCAGAATGTCGTGGTACCACTCCTTTGTATCGATGGCGAGATGCGTCAGCGCACGAAGCGCCAGAGGCGGCGGCCAGACTTGCGGCCAGCGGTGGTAGAACGACAGGTGGAGGTGTGTGATGCGCGTGGGCGCGGAGAGGTCGGGAGATGCGGTCATCATGTAGAGCGAGAGCAGGTTCGTGGTGAGCCGCCGGAGGTTGGGCAGAGTTCCGAGCACGTCTGCCGTGCTAAATATGAGACCACGCGGTAGAATGACAACATCTTGGAGGGGGGGGCAGGAGTTCAGAATACTTAGCTCAGACGAGGAGAGCTCTCCGTCGAGACGCAGACCGGTCGACTGCGCGATGAATGCCTGCCGGCGGGGGTCTTCGATGAGCGCCCTGAAGGCAGACGGCGACAAGACTGGGAATGGTGTATTGAGAGTCGGACCAGCCTCCGGATCCCGAAGACTCAAGACGTTGTACAGCAGCGGCTCCACACTGGCGGCCACAGCTGGTCGGAGGAGAAACGGACCAAAGTACGCATTGCCGGACGCACCACTCTTTCACCCACCACGCTACGCGCATCAACACTGGGATGCCCCCGGCCGCTGCAGCGCCGCCTCGCGGAAGATGTGCAGCTCGATCTCGCGGGGGAAGGGCGGGTCGTCCATGAGAGTGAGAAGCAAGATGCGGGGATGAGTCAGCTGGCGACCGGGGAATCAATCAACTGGAAGCGCCAGTGTTCCGCAAAATGCTGTATAACATCGCTGCAAGTGCCTACCAGCGAAAGACGCGACGCCGATGCGGGACAACGCTGTTGGCAGCCAGATGCCAGCGCATAGTGGACGACGCAGAGGATCGGTCGAATAACGGCGACTGCACCATTCTTGGGGGGAAAATTGGCAATATGTTGATTAGTAGTGCACGGATACAACAACGTCTATTACACTGACAATGGGTGAGCCCCAATTACTAGTATCAAGTGCACAACACACCTTGTCCCTCTGCACACGACAACCATGAGACCCGCCGAGACGGGTCAAGGAAGATAAAAAATTGTGCCACGACGACGGACAAATACGATGTACAAGGAGCCGCGTGCGCTGGCGCCCACCCGCCAGCCACATTTTATTTTTTGAAGCGCCTGATCCCATGTCCATCCTGCCTCGAAAGCAGGCTGTTCCTTCCTCGACACCAGCGGGCCACCGAGGGCAGAATCGCAAGGTCGGCTCAGACCGTGTGGGGGAAAGTGGGCGGAAAAGAAGGGCGATGACCCGTGTTTGGCGGGCGGCGCACGGACCATGCTGATGCACGTGCACAGGGAGCCATCAAATTCATGTCCGTGGACACGTTGGCCGTGAAGGTTTTTGGGCACCATTGTAGTCCTTTGAGCGCAGAATGCTGCACTGTGTCCTCCGATACCCGACTGTATTAAGCTGGAGAAGGAGCTTGAGAGCAAGACCTGTCTTTCAAGTTGAGCGCAGTGGCTTGGCATCCCAGTCGGCTGTCACACGCTCAGTGACGCCTCTCACGCGGCAACCATTTCTCTCCTAACAACCGTGTTGCCCAACGAGCTCCTCCTCGACGTCTTCCGACGAGCGTCAAGGGATGACCTGCACAATGTCGCCCGTGCATCGCGGCGCTTCTGCTCTTTGGCTCGCACACTCCTACTCACCAACCTCTCGTTCCTGCCCTATACCTTTGACGACGGAGCAAACGCAGCAGTTGGAGGATAAACTGGGACTGTTTGGGTCGAATAGCGTGGCGCCGTACGTCAAGTGCATCTCTGTCAACCTGCTTAGCTGCTACTCTGGGTATTCGTACAAATTCAGCGATGTCAGGTTCAGCGACGAGGACGAGATTCATTCTATGCTCCATAGCGTACTCACGACACTCCCCCGCCGGCAATCTTCGCTACTTCAAGGCTGAACAGATAGAATTCACGACCGCGGCGCTTGGTGCGCTCGCCCAGCTACAATCACTCGAGACGTTGTTCCTCATCAACTGTGCAATCCCCCCCTTCTCTCGCCAGCTCTATGTTCCTCCAGAAAATATCCATCAGCAGCTTGATACTCGCCGACTGCAGCGAACCGAGCTCCTGGCTGAACCTTGTAGCCTCAGCGCGTTTGCGCTGCAGATACGATGGGAAGCAGCAGCGCCAAGTCTGGCATTACACTGCCAGGGCGGAATTGCCGTACTCCCGATATTCCTGAATACCACCCACCTCACAATTAGTATCAGAGGCTCGGAGACCAGTGAACTCGCCACCTTGCTCAACACCGCCTTTCCTAGGCTGGAGTCCCTGATACTCACGACCGACAACATTCCCTCCCCGGTAGCCCCTCCGGACCGCGATTTGCCATGCACATTCCGTATTTTGACACAGTTACAAGCCACGCTTGAGCTGGCATTGCTTATCCTTCCGCTGGCCAACATTGACAAGCTCACGCTACTGGGACCCGATACGCCAGCCCTGCTGCTCGCCCTTGCTGCCCTTCCTACCTACGCGCACTTGGAGCAGTCACGGATCTGACGCTTGCAGTGCTAGAGGGGTGCGACACTAGCAGCAAGCTGGCATCCATAGCCAGCTACTTCCCTGCATTGGATCTTTTGAATGTCCACCTCGCATTTCACTATGGAGACGAATATGTACACTCGGTGGGTGCCTGCGATATCGACAAGTACAGTATGAGGGGTGACGAAATCAGTGGGACTGGGACTGGGCCACCCCAAACCAGTCCTACTGATCGAGTCAATCCCACTGATCAGCCCTTAAGCAAGGGTGATCAGTGGGATTGATGCACTCGAGCATGCTTCCTATGACCTCGGGAATCAGCTCAGGATCAATTCACGAGCTGCGCAGCAGGCCTCCGCGGCAGCGTGGGGTCCGGGTGGAAAACCCCGGCCGCGCCGTAACTACGTGATAAAAAGCTCCAGAGCACCTAGGAAAGTGAGAGAGGGGAGGAGGGAAGAGAAGAGTGCTCCGCGCAGCGGGCCCTGCGGCGAGCAGAGGCCCCCGGCAGGGTGGGTCCAGGGCAAGGCCCTCGTCCTCTCTATCGTTAACGTTTTCTTGTTTGCTGAGGCTCTCCAAATCCCCGTTAGATCCAACGGCAACTGGGAAGGGAGCCTAACCTGGGAGCATTGCGCTGCTCGGAACGCTCGCATGTCCCACGACAACAACTCGGACTACGGAAGCACATTCGTAGAGCAGCTTTGAGCTGATTAATCTCACAAAACTATGGATTGCACGCGCTAATGTCCTCCCCCTTACACTTCATGTGACAGCCTTTCTTGATTACGGCGCAGACATTACTCCCGCTGGTATCTCGCTGGCGAGACGTCTCACTAAGCGTGCCAATGGAGACGCTGGCCCAGCTGTTTTTGGCTGGATCACAATTTCCAATGCTACAGCGTCTTTCGATTGCGGCGTCCGAGGGTGACTGGGAGTTGAAACGACTGCGAATCCTGGAGCACCGGAACTGCGATCCCTACAAATACTCTCAGTGGAGATCATTGCGCTGCATCCCTCCAAGGCGCCATTTGCACAGCTAACAACCTTGTACTTCAAACGCCTCGCTGGAGTCTCTGCTGCCTTGGACATCTTGAAGCACAGCAGCAGCCTTCAACAATTCTAGCCTGGTAATCACAATGGCTTTGTCTAGGAAAATTGTCTGACTTTGACCTCAGAGCGACGAACATCTAGTATGTAGTGCTTTTGAAGTTTTCTCGTTTAACCCTCCAAAGGCGCCGGCAATTATGACATGTAGATCACGCTTATCGAGATGGATTTCTGTATGGACGGCGCCATCCTTTCCCATTCGAAACTTCTGCTAAGCGTCAAACAGGACACCCCGACATACTCAAAATACGCGGAGATTATTGCCAGTGCGTCTACTTAACCTGCTGCTTGTACCCCACTGACCGCGCCCAGCATTGTGCGTCTGCGTCGAGCAGACCTCATCAGAGTCATCTGCCTCCATGGATGACTTCCCGCACGCATTTATCCAGGCGGTGGAAGCGTATTTCGCCCCAAATTCCGCTGCACGCACCTCTGTCAACAAAGAGACTGCCAAACTGTCCCCGTATGATTACCGGGAGATGCAGGACACGACGTCGGACTGTCCGTCCCGGCGCCCGGCCACCGCCAAGCTGATACATATAATATGTAGCACTTCCGGAGGACTTTTGAGCATCTTTGGGCTGTCCCAGCCTGCGGCTTGTGCTTCCCATCACCATCATGATCAGTCGTAAATCATGATCAGACACGGTCACGTGAGGCCAGGCTGGGTAATGCAGGGCAACAGGGGCTGCTGTGCTGGTGGTGGATTTGGGAGAAGGAAATAGGGTGTGTGGTTTCCACGTGCCCCGGGGCTCGCTGCCGGGCAGCCGGGTGACGCGTTTGGGGTGGGGCTGCGAGGGGGCGCAATGAGCAGGGCGGTCGAGAGCAAGGTGCAAGCAAAGCGGACGCGCATGGCGCACAGTGCGGGCTGGGTCTGGTGGGGGCCGCTCTGGCTTCCGGGGTGTTGCGCACTGCGAGAGGAAGAGGTACGCGTCATGGAGTTGTTGGGACGATGCAGAGGATATCGATAAGGAGGGCAATGATGGCAGGGGTGGGGCGGGGGGGGGGGGAGGGCGTCCAGTTTTTGTCTCTTTGCTGTCAGGGAATATCTTTTTGCTGCCAGGAAATAGCTTTCAAGTTTCGCTGTGAGGGAATTGCTTCTCGTGTTGATGCTGCCAGAGCCGCGGTCCAGCATGGATGAGGAGGATTGCTAGCCAGCTACACAGGTGATTCCTTGGTCGCTGAGCAGGAACGACTTCAAGTTCGGAATAATGCTCAGTTTGCAGCTGCCACGCGCCACACCGACGCGATTCCCCTCCTCCCCCCGCTCCTGTCCTCACCGCCTCTCCAGCACTCATTGAGTCTAATGTCCCGACCGCGACTTAGCATTTAAGTCTTCCTTTGGCTCAGCTGAACAGGTAACAAGAACTCACAGTTGGCAGTACTCAGTTACCACGCCGTATGCTCTGAGCCGACACGACCCATGTCACTGGCTCATCCTGCATATCCTGTACACACAGGTTGTGCGTCGTCGTGGTCCCGCTCGTGGGTGTGGTTGTGGGTGTTGCACATGGTGGGTGGCGGAAAACAGGGCCGGCCGGTGTGACAGGCGTGACTCGGACCGGAAAAGAGCAGTCCACCGACGCTGAGCTCAGGCCCCGCTGGCCAGCACGCGGTGCGCCGACAGGACATACATGTGCGTCTCTCCATCCTGTTATCTGTGCCGTACTCATCGTCGCTAGACGTTCCTCGGCACCCATCCCGGCACTGTGCCTCGTGCCCAGGGCGGCCCCGGTGCCCCTGGACGTGGCCGCCTGCAGCTGTCGGCAGTCCTTGCTGGCTGACTGGACACCGCTGCGGCTGAGCGCCTGCCTGTGCCCTGCTCCTCCCGTCCAAGCCTGCTCTATTTCTTGTCATTGTTGTCCACTTTGTTTCGCATTTGTTCTTAATCGTCAATTACTCACCACCATTGGGAGCCGATCCGCCATCAATCACCCTCCTCGCTATCGACCGCTTTCCTGCTTCC